AAGGCTAGGCTTAATTAGTGTAACAAAGAACTGGGAGGTTGGGCCTAGGATAAAGAAAGGCCAGTTGATAGGATTATAGCCTCAGGCTACAGAGACGAGAGACTTCCTTGACCAAGTAGAGTTCAAGGAGAGTCAGGAGACAAATAGGACCCAAATTATTTTTGAGGTGAGAGGCAAAGGTCTCTGCTTGGGCCCATACCCCATCAATACCAGGAAGATTCGATTCCTTGAACCTGTAGTAATAGCCAAGATGAGATAGGGAATTTCTTTGTATAGAGCATGAATGACCTTGATCTCTTAGTCCTGTCAAAGAAACTAAAGTGGGAAAATGTACAGCTTTGACTTAGTTGCTTCACATTTCCTCAAGTTTGTCTCTCATATTCTTTTAAATCACTCTATCTCAATAATTGCTTGTCTCCAAAGCTTTTGTGGGTAGGGTCCATGGGGTTCTCCCAGCCCATATTTATGATAGTGTCAATATGCGCTTTTAATCTGATGTGATTTTTAGTCATTTTGAACCAAAATGATAGAGGACAATAGTTTTCAAATGAGTATATTTTTGAATTGTTGTTGTTCAGTTGTCTGATTCTTTGTGACTCCATTTTGGGGTTTTCTTGGTAAAGGTAGTGGAGTTGTTTGCCATTTCTTTCTCCAGCTCATTTTATAGATGAGGAACTGAGGAAAACAGGGTGAAGTGACTTGCCCAGGGTCACACAGCTAGCAAGTGTCGGCCAAATTTGTACTTAGGAAAATGAGACTTTCTAACTTCAGGCCCAGTATTCTATCCACTGCACCACCTAGCTGCCTTATTTTTACATAATGGTTAGTAAATTTTAATGAAAATCTGTACCAGAAAAAAAGTCTTAGGAAAAGAAATAAATTGCCTTTGTAAAAGAATCCATTACATTTATATGAGGTCCAAAACCTTCCCCATACATGTTCCACATATTACCTCAATTTAGCAATCCATGAATTTTTAAGATCATTTGCTTGTATTTGACTTTGGACTCCTTGTCTGATGAGTACTGAAAGCAATGTTTCCTTTGCCATAGGATTGCTGCTACCGTGTGAACAGTTAGAATGCTCTGAGTGATCTCCTGATTGAGGTTTTGAATGGTAGAGTTATTAGTATATTGAATACGTATAGTTTTTAAAAAATTCTATTTTTAAAGACTCATGATGGAAAATGCTATCCACATCCAGAGAAAGAACTGTGGAGTCTGAATGCAGATCAAAGATACTGTTTTCTCTCTCTCTTTTGTACATGTATAGCCCATATCAGATTGCATGCCATCTTGGGGAGGGAAGAATGGAGCGAGGGAGAGAAATCTTAAAGAAAATATCTCAAAATCTTATAGAAGTGAATGTTGAAAACTAAAAACAAATAAATTAACAAAAGAAAAAGATAAAAATTCTATTTTTCTTTCATAATCTTTTTGGAAATGGAGGAAATTGAGCTGAATTTTGACTTACTTAAGACTATAACAAGAATGTATTTTCCCTCAAGAATAAGATATAATGGGTGGACAGACCTCAATGGCAAGCCAGCATTTTTCACACTTTTCCAGTGTTAGCTACTACTTTCACGTGTCTGGGATTCCAGCAGTTCTTCTCTAGCAGACTGTTTCCTCATACTTGTCAACAGAGATATTGTGGAAGAACATGGGGGATGGGACATTATTTTAAAAATTCTATTGATTTACAGTCCATATCTACTAGCACTATCTCCACCACCTCCCCCCATCTTCAGTGAATCATCAGTTGTAACAGGAAAAAGTTAATCAAATCCCAACCATTAAAGCAATCCAGCCTGATAACATAAACATCACTATGTACCTTTCCCAACTGAGTAAAACGAAATTAGTTTAATCCGTTCTCTGGGAACAGATGGTTATTGCAATTAACCCGAGTTTGACAGCATATTTGTGATTTTGTTTATGTCATTATAGCCAGTTCAGGAGAAATGAAGTTCTTTGAGCCATTGAATGATATGAGATAAAGCTACACAGGAAATATGTGAGGATTGGTTGATAGAATTAGGCACAACCCAGGGCCTATGTATATCTGAGAAGGGATTTCAGAAGAAGGCAGTCAAGCTTTAGGAGTTCTTTGAGGAGCCAGACCCTTGTGCCTACTATAACTAGAGTATAGTAAGGGGTTAGGAGGGGTGGGGAGAGGAGGTTGTGTTTAGAGTGAGTCCAGAGAAAATGTCACACTTCACCTACACATCTTGAATGACTGTGACATCAGAGAGTTTGGACCAGTAAAAAGTAACACATCCATCTAGAACTGGAAAAGGATAAACTAGATCCACTGAGGAAATAATAACTTCAAGGAAGTGTGAATTCTTTAAGATGGAGAGGAGTGCATTTATAGACTCTACAAAGTATACTTATGGACCCTCAAAACCCAGCAGAGAGCTGCACCTCAGCTGCAATTGTTGAAGATTCCATGAAGGGAGAAAAAGCACTTTCATTACAGGGAGATGTGAGTCAACCTTTGGCCACACGTGCTCCCTAAGCTTGAATTCACTTTCTCTTGGACTCTTTGCATCCAGACTTTGGGGAAATATGTTTTGTAACAATTATTCTTACTAGAGGACCTTAGTAAATATTCCATTGTTCAAGCTAATTAACTTTGGCTATATAATTAACAACCAATAAGGAGCATAACAGATGGGGGCTCATGAGTGATAGCACTAGAAGAAAAAAAAAACCCAAGCCCTTGGGGTATACCCCTAAAATCCTGAGTGGAAAAGTAGTCAGCTGGCTCCTGGGGACCCATCCAACTGGGAGTTAAGAGAATGAGCCCAGAAGGGGTGCTACACTAGCATATGTGACCAGCAAGAATCAGACTGGGAAACTCTGGGAATGGTCTGTGCAACTCCATATTACATAAAGATGGGAGAACCTTAGACATATTTTTGTAAGCATCATGGATGAAGCCCGTGGACAGTGAGAGGCTGAAAATTAAATAGAGAGAATTATTTTAGGAGCAACATCCTGGAGGATATGACAGGATATGGGATCAAGGGCACAATTGAAGAAATTGGTTTTGGTGAGGGTTTTGTTTGGTTTTGTTTGTTTGTTCCACTTCTTCACAAGAAACTAGAGCAAGAGAAAAGTGAATGGGTTGGGGGAATGTGATGTCCCTATATCTTGGAATAAAATTTTTAAAAGTTAAATTTTATTGACATCTTTTGTTTTTACATAACCTTCATTTCTAAATATACATATCTTCCCTATCTGTGAGCAATCCCTTGTAATAGAGAATATTTTTTTTAAAAAGTAGAACTGAAAGCAGTCTTAATTTCATTATACTTGCCTCTAGTCACATTGTAAATGTCAGAGCCAATACTAAAATCATCTTTGTCCAAAAAGTGTGTATTTGGAGCAGTCATTTCCTTCTTGGCAACCAACACATGACTCTGAAATTCCGGGCCTCTCCAGCTCAAGAGGTAGCTGCCAAAGTTGGAAACATCCATCCCTTAGTGTTGCTATTCAGATACGTGTGCTTAGCAGAAGAAACAAAACAAAAACAGCCAGGTACTTGAGATCCATTCTCAGACTTGCCTAGGCAAGTACATACTCTCATTGCCATGTGCTCGTAGCCATCATATTTGAAGAAGGAGGCGGGAATGGAGAGAATCCTCTTCCTTGTTCAGGAAGTAGAAGAGAGAATTGGCATAATACCCAATGACACACTGAAAAGAGAGGAAAAGATACATGAACAGAGACAGAAATGGAGTCAGAGATAGAGAGACATACAGAGACAGATACAGAGATAAAGTGTGTGTGTGTGTGTGTGTGTGTGTGTGTGAGAGAGAGAGAAAGAGAGAGAGAGAGAGAGAGAGAGAGAGAGAGAGAGAGAGAGAGAGAGAGAGAGAAAGGAGAGAGGTGGAGATTATATCCTTTCCTTTTATAGTCTGAATGGGTAAATCTGCCTGGCTCAGTCTGCAATCTTCTTTGAAAGACCCCTCCCTTTTCCAATAATGAATACCAAGAAGGCAACTAGAAGCCAGTGGATATGTGCACACACACATATATATATATATACACACATACATAAGTGTATATATGTATGTGTGTATATATGTGTGTGTATAGTATATGGTATATTATGCATATGTGTATATATATATATATATATATATATATATACACATATACACACACATACCTACATACACATCTATACACATATATATGTATATGTCCTTTAGCAAGGGGCCAAAGCCTATCTCCATGCATGTTCCATTGGATTGTCCTTTATATTCATTATTATTATTATAGACGATAAGGTTTTCTTATTACCGAATTAAATAAGAAGTAACACTGGGCATTAGTAATCTGAAAAAGTATAGTGCCTGTTAATGTGGGTCATTGTTTCAAGTTTATTAAAATTCTTACGTTCACGTAGCCTAAATTCATAGTGGTTTCTATTTAGTTTTCTTCATGCAATCATTTTATAAGCATGATGTTATGAATTAACATTTGCTTGTTTTAATTTAAATTTTTCAGTATTTCAATTCAATAAACATTTATTAAGCATCTACTATGTGCCAGGCACAGTGCTAAGTGCTAAGGGTACAAATAAGAAAAAGAGAGTCCCTGTCCTTACTGAGCTTATAATCTAATAGGGAAAGATGACACCCAAAAGGAAGCTGGAGAGGCAGCAGGAATGTTGTTATCTCTCTATATAGGAAGGCCTTGGGAGGAGTTTAGTGCTCCACCCTCCAGCCCTCCAGAGAGGAGAGGCAAGTGAGGGTGAGTTGAGAAGGTGCCCAAATCTGAGTACTTCTTCATGGTGATGAGATTTCAGGTAATTAGCTTATCCTTGTAATTCATAAATAATTTTAAATGCTGTAAATTTGAAATCAACAAATAATAATACTTTACTTGTATATTCTATATTTTCTATTATTTTACATATTGATTCATTCTTTGTTCCACAGAATTCACCTTAATGTTTTAAATATCTTTTCTTTTTTTTCCTTGAAGGAGGTATCTTTAATCAGACATTTAAAGTATCAAGAAGAGATTGAAGGAGCAGAAGAACAAGAAGCAGAAGAAGAAGAGGAAGAAGAAAAAGAAAGAGAAAAAGAAAAAAAAGAAGAGCCAGAAAAAAGTGCTGAAAAACTTCCAAGGGTAAAGTTTGTGATTTTCTTTTTTTTTTCCCTTTCTAGAAGTATTCTTGTGCTAGATTCAAGCAAATCTAACATTTCATATTTGTGGAAACAGCTTTAAGTATTTTTGTGCCTCGGGAAGTAGCTGTGAACAACACAATTACAAATCATGTTACTAATTCATGGTGTGAAAAGGATACAAGAAATAATCAATCAAAACAAGTATTTATTAAGCTTCTACTATGTGATGGCCACTATGTTAGGCAATGGGGATCCAAAAAAAAAATAATTCCTCAAGGAAATTTTATTCTTCATGGGAAACAATTTATACCTATGTAAATACAATTATACAGAACAAAGTGAGTACAAAGTAGTTAAATATAAAATAGTTAGGGAAGAAGGTCACTAATGGCCAGGGGGGATCTACAATGGTCAGAAGATAAGTGTTTGAATTGCATCTTGAAGGAAGTGAGGGATTTTATGAGGCAGAGATGTAGAGGGTGGGCATTTCAGGCACAAGGATGGTGGATAGAGTATCCTGTGTGAGAGGCTAGTTTGGCTGGACCCTAGAGTGAAGAAAAGGGAGAACAATATATAATGAGGAGCAATGTTTAATTGTCCCAGCCAAGATTATCTTCCTCTAATGTTGTCTAAGGCATTATAACCAAACCACCATAATGCTCTTAACCCTGCTAATCTCCTGAGACCAGCTTTTACACTACCTTTTCTGCTCCAGAGGTTCTGGCTCTTTTACCTCTCTTTAGCTTATAACTAATTGCCCAGGCAACATATTCTAAATCAAATCTATTAATGGCAGTGTTAATTGACAGTAGTCAGTGACTATGGGATCATTTATTTAGATGTGGAAAAGTCATGTAGCCCAACCTCCTTGTTTAACAGACTAAAACTGAGACAGCTTGTGACTTGCCCAAGGAACAGGGCCAGGATTCAGCCCTAAGTCCTTTGACCCCAAACCTAGTGCTCTTTCTGCAGCACAACACTTTTTACAAGGCCTGAAGGTTGTCAATAAATGCCTGTTGAGTGGGGACATCAGTATTAAGCTGGCTTCACTGGAGTCTAGATGTAATAATTTGAACAATAACAAACACTACAATTAAGATTGCAAAGTTCACTTGCATGCCCTTATTTTACTTGAGCCAATTTTGACTCTCTAAATTTTTAGGGAGTTTAGCTTTCTTTGCTCAGTTACAAGACATTATAGCTCAATGGTGATTTTGTTATGAGGTATTTAGAAGTTGAATGATTTACAATGTTGGGAAGACAAAGAAAAAACACAAGTGTTCATATATCCATGTATATGTATGTGTGCGTGCATTTATTTATTTATTTATTTACTTATTTATTCAGTCATTCATTTATTTATTCATTCATTCATCTATTTATTTATTCATTCATTCATTCATTTATTTATTCATTCATTCATTCATTCATTCATTTATTTATTTATTTGTTTGTTTGTTTATTTATTTATACTTTTTTCCCCTAGCCGAAGGAAATTGAAAGAATGACTGAAGATGAGCTAAGTCCTATGCAAACTGATGATGAACCTGATATGGAAGAGCCACAAACCAAACAAGAAAATATGGAACTTCTTCAGACTGTTTTAGATACCAAGATTTTGAGTGAGCTACCTACACTATTGGATACTACACAAAACAAATTGCCACAACAGATACCTGGTCCTTTCCAGGTAAAAATCAATTTATTCTTACTGAAACAAAAAAAATGAGGGTGTGGAAGACGAGGATAAATTTCAAACAGCTAAATTATTTTCTCTAGAGGTGAAATTTACCTCTAGAGAGAAGCTGAAATAATAAATTCTCCATTTATTCCCTATGTCTTTAACTACAAAAAAGAGAACATTACACATTTTCCTTCCTCTGAGGCAAAAATGCATGATATGCATACACTTAAAACGTATAGTACACTTGTTAATACTTTAGTTTGCTCCAATTATCATCAATGTTTTTCTTTAAAAAGAAAACTGGAATTTTTTACCCATATTTGCATATTGCTGACATTTCCTTCCTTGGGGCACATCTGAAAGGGCAAATAATCTGAAATTTTAGTTTCATTCCCCCTTGTATCCCAGTTTTTATATTGGGCATCAAATACTTAGCCTAGTGCCTCATTCTGTGCACAGAATTCCCTCTGCCTGCTTCCAGTCTACAGAACACAGAATTATGTTTACCATGCCTAAATCACTACAGAATAATTTTACTAAACTGTAAGTTTTGTTCTTTCTCTTACAAAGTAAGTAGTACTGTACAAATAATCTCCATTTCTGTCAGCAGAACTTTTAAGCTCTCTCCCAAAATCCAGTCTTCAATATCTGACTATTTTTCTCTATTTCTAATTCTAACTTCTACACATATGCTCCATTACCACCTCAAATTCACCATCTATAGAACTCAAAGTTGTCACCTCTTCTTTCCTGCCCAACAATGGCTTCCATTCTCAATGTCTCCATTCTTATTAATGCGCCCCCTTTTTTTTCCCCACTCTAGAAACCTTGTGGTCTCTCTCACTGGAGCTCTTCATGTCTAAGCTGGATAATCACTTGTTGGGCATTTTATAGAGAGGATTCTTGCTCAGCTCCAAGTTGGACTAGAAAGCTTCTGAGAGATCTTCCACTGAGGAGGTTCTGTCATCTTAGACGCCTACTTTTCTTTCTCTTTTTTGACCCCCTCCCCCAACAAATACAATTAGCAACCATTTCCTGATGATTCTACCTTCTCAGATTCATCCTTCTCCCTCTTCTTTAAATTAAATTTTTTTTTTATTTTGACAAGCCTAAAACAAAAACACAAATCACTAATGCAGGGTAGTCCCTGAATAATCCCTGAAAACATTTAGGCAAAGCAGCATAAAGAGGTGATTGTAGCAGAGGCAATCTTTTTGTTGTTATTGTTATTTACCAGTTATTAAAAGAAAGGTTTTAGCACACTCCACCATTCTGCAACCATTTCTGTAAAAACCCAGGATTGAGGGTGGTTTTATATTTTTCTTTTTTTCATAGATTACCAGGGAGGAAGAATGTATGGTAATGAGCCTATCTGTACTCAGCTAGATTGGTCCTTTGAAGGTAGACACAGGATAGCTGAGCCTACCATAGCTTGCTGGCCACTGGACTAGACTTTGAGAACCTAAACTAGAGAATGGATATCATGAATATTTTCTTCAAGAAGAGACACAATAAGGACCTAAGAAATTGTCTATATCCTAACAAACAAGAAGTGACTGGAATGGGAGTCTTTTCAAAATCAGCTATGTGAGCATGGTTAAACCATCAGCTTGTTAGAGCAAAGATTAAACTCAACAGGATATTAGAGGAAAAAATAAAAGAAGGTACACATCCAATTAAATATCAATGATATCACAGGTCCAATTAAAAAAATGGGGTTAGGGGAAGAATTGACACAAATCTACCAAATAAAGGGCCATTCCCAAATAGATTAATGGTTAAATGATATGAAAAATCAGAAGAAACAAACTATCCCTTGCCCTTTCAAAAAGAATTCAGAGTCATTAGTGATCAGAAAAAATGAACATTAAAACAATTCTGAAATTATTTTTCCTGTAATGTTTCTTCATTGTAATATCTCTTGAAATATTTAGCCTTTCCTGCAATTCTCTTCGCTAGGCTAATCCATCCTCAATTCCTAAACAAATTCTCATATGGCATGAAGTCAAGGTTCTCTTAGGGACAGCTAGGTAATACAGTGGATAGAGTGCAAGCCTTGGAGTCAGGAAGACTCATCTTGTCAAAAGTATTCTATGGCCTTAACTTTTTCTTGAGAAAGGAATGGAAATCTAAGTATTAGCACTTTTTCTCCCTCATCAACAATTGTACACAATTTTGCAGGATAGGTGATTTGGAAGTTAGAGCTGATTTTCTTTGCTTATTTCTGTAGGAATTATTTCATTCATTGCATTTGTATCCCCAGCCCTTAATAAATGCTTGTGGAGCAATTGATTTCATTATGTCACATCCCAGCTTCTCCTTTGACTCCACATTCTCACTGAGTAGTATTCTGTGATTTGAATTACTGGGGTTTTTTTTAATGTGATTTGATTCTTCCTGGCTTCCTGTCATATCTTATCTGGTACTGGAACTTTGCATTTTAATGATAAATTTTCTAGATGAGTTAAATTTTCTGGTCCTCTTTGATAGCATTCTGCAGCTTATTTTTTTCTTTGAACTTTTCCCTTTGTTTTTAATATTTCCACACTGTTTTCTTCTTAGATTTTCTAGAATATAATATCCAGGAGTTTTGCTCCTTTATATTTTTCTTTGAATACCAATAATCTTTACTTTGCTTGCTGAGCTCTATCTTCTAACTTTATTGCTTTACTTTGAAGGGATCCCAAGTTTCCTTCCAGTTCTGCTGTTTTTTAAATTTTTGTTTCATTATTTTTCCATCTCTTTATATTCATCTCAGCCATTCTTCAGAAAATTCACTACATTTTAAGCTAATGTTCTGAGTAGTAAAGAGTCATGTTCATCTTTTTATACATTTCAGTTCTCTTTCTCCTTCTCTTTCTACTGTTGTGTCTTCTTTCTCTTTTTTCTTTCTCTCTTCCCTTTCCTCCTCCTCCTCCTGCTCTTGCCCTTCTTTCTCTTCCCACTCATTTTTATAGATACTAGATCTTTCTTTACATTTCTTAATGAGGTTTAAAGTATCTTCTTGTCTTGTTTCTGCATATAACATTACATAGTATCATAGAACCACATATGCAGAACTGGAAAGGACCATGGGGAAAATTCATATTAATTCTTTTATGTTACATATGGGGAAACTGAGACTGAGTGAGATTAAGTGATTTGTGAAGGTTACCAAGATAGTATGACAGAAGCAGGATTTGAATCCAGGTCCTCTGATTCCAAACCTAGTGCTCTTTCCATTCTACATAGTTTTAAAAATGAAACAAGACTAAAATTCTCCCCACTTCAGGGCCCACCTAGAGGCCGCTAGGTGGAGTAATAGATTAAAATTCCCACCTCTGACATTTATGAGCTGTAAGAACTTGGGAGAAATTACTAGCTGTCCCTGAGCCTCAGGTTGTTAATCTGAAGGAAAAAAAGTGGGGGAAGGAATAATGCTACTTACACTGTGTATGCAAAGCTTTTTACAAACTTTGACCCCACTCCTGGCCCTGGTGGTTTGGGAATTCCTTGGACAGTCCTATGATGCATCCTGCCTATATAGGGGGAGATATTTGACTGAAAGACCTCAGAGCCCATGACACTGTGCACAATATACATGAAGGAGATGTGACTTGAGATTGGATGGAGAGACTTCAGAGATATTAGAGAAGTTTGAAATATAGAGGCAAGAGAGAAAGCTTTGAACTTTGAATGGCAGATGAGAAAACTCCATAGAGCTACAGGGATATAGGGGAAATCATCAACACATCTCTTGATTCCCACTTCTTATACCCCAGAGATGTCTAAAAATGAGTTTCCTCAATGAGATCGTTCTCTTCTTAGTTGAACCGAAATTTTTATCTCACTCCCATGTTGAACAGCTCATTGCTTCTGATGTGTTCTATTGTCTAATCCAATATGTTTATTTGCTACTCATAATTGTCTTTTGTGGGCATGAAGAATTTGATGGGAGGGAGCTTGGCTGGCCAAGAGTAAGCTCAATTTGCCGTCCCCTTTAGAGTGACCAGGTAGTGTGGTTTTTATTCTGAAAACCTAAAAGAATATTGCCTCCCTAGATAATAAATATCTGATGTGTAGCAACTAGATTTAATTCCAAACTCAGGACCCTTCTTGGAGGTTGAAGAGCTGAATAATTGCCTGCACATGACTGCCCTGGATCTTGCCTGCCTCTTCCCCTGTTAAGTTATTAGCAGTACAGACACAGCTCTTCTACTCTTCACAGAACAAGAAATCAAAGTTTTCCCAGAGATGAGATGGGCCATATAATCTGGGGATTATATTTTCTAACTATATCCCTGTTTACATGGGCTGCCTGATTCTTTATGCCCTAGTTTAAACCCTGTGATCCAAGTTGATCCATATTATGGAAGTGCTCTATAAATGTTCATTGCTATTGTTGTTGTTTTATATTTTTTTTTCCTCCTAGAGATTTTGTCTTTAAAAAAAAACCTCATCATACTCATTCACTATATTAGAAAATCTCTTTTGCTCACCCATTTCTTCAATCTCTTTTAATGTTAATGTGAGATGTTTCCCATGAGGATTTCTTTCCTTCCTCCTCTTTAAAAAATGATTTGGTATTTTTGGTACTGCTTTGGGAAGAAAAGGGGAGTGCAAAGGTGTAAAAAGTGTGCAAATGAGAGCTGGACTTAATAATGATTCACTGAGTCATCTTGCCAGATCTTTTCTATTTCCTTCCTCCCTATTTATATTCCCTCCACCCTTATTCAGTTCTTTTTCACCTAACCTTAGGCTAGCCACAATTCTAGTACTACTGGTTCTACCCTCTTTCCTTCAGTCCATTCTGAATGTCATTACCATATCATACTTCCTAAAAATACTGCTTTGTTGTGTGTTACTCTCCTGCTCAAGAACCTACCATGGCTATTTCACCGAGTTATAGAATTTTAGAGCTAGAAGAAAACTTACAGCATTTTTAAGGTTTATGAAGTCCTTCCTTCAAAACTCCCCTGTGGTATACAGTTTAAATATAATGATCCCCATCTTGCCGACAAGGAAGCCCAATTCTGAAAGGTAATAAGTGACTTGACATTATCAAACATATAGGGTAAGAACTATTACTCAAACTCTGATCATTTGACTCCACCTCTAGTAATCATGGGAATCATAGCTTTATAGCTATAATGGTCTTTAAAGATAATCTAGTTGAATTCTTGCTAATCAAATTATTGAATCTCAGACTTAGAGTCTCAGAAGGTATAGCCTGCATTTTCATTTTATAAATGAGAAAACTAAATGCCAAAGATGTTAAGTGACTTGCCCCAGGTCCCATAGGGTTGAGTCCAATTTTCGTCTCTGCAGATCACCTTCAAGTCTATATATTCACCTTTAGTCTCTCTCATGAGTTGGTGTTCCAACTATATATCAACAAGCATTTATTAAGCACCTGCTCTATGTTAAGCAGCACTGGGAATACAAAGAAAGGTGGGAAAAAACCAGCTAACTGCTTAATGGACTTGTCCTTATGAGTGTTCTGTAGGCATCTCAAATTCAACGTGTCTGAAATTAAACTTAATATCTTCCCCCTAAATCTAGTCACTCAGGTCTGCAACCTTGGAATAATTCTCAACTCTTCCCCTCACTCACTCTCTCCTACTAAATCTAATTAATTGCCAATTCTTGTCAGTTTTACATCCAATACCTCTCTCAAATCTGTCCACTCACTTCCACTTATAAACCCACTATCTTAGTTCAGGCTCTTATCACATCACCTCTATTATTGCAACAATCTCTTACCTACTCTCCCTGCTTCTAGACTGTCCCCTCTCCAATTTGTCCTCTATATAGTTGTCAAAATAATTTTCCTAAAACGCCGGTCTTACCATTTCATTATCCCACTCAGGATGCTTCTGAGGCAGCTTCCTGCTACCACATCAGCTGGGCATAGAAAACCTTTCACAATTTTGTGTTATCCTATTTTTTCCTTACTCATTTCATATTACTGCCATCCATGTGTTCTAGACAAACTGGCTTACTTGCCATTCCTAGAACTTGGCTTTGCATCTTCTTCCTTCATGCCTTTGCATAGGTTCTATCATCCATGTATGAAATGTACTCCCTCCTTCTTCACCTTCACCTCTTAGAATCCTCGTTTTTCCCTACCACTCAGCTCAAGTTTCACTGCCAGCATTTTCTTTTCACTTTCCAGTCTTTCTGGATCCTTCTAGTTGCCAATGCTCATCAAATTATCTTTTATTTACTTTTATCTGGTACATGTTGAATTCCCCCTTCCTCTTATCCCCCAGTCCTTCTTAATCTTAGTCCCTTCTCTCTCTCTGAGATGATCTCCAATTTGCTCTGCATATATTCTGTTAGTTTATAGCTGTTTGCATTTTGTCTTCCCACTTCTATCCCTTTTAGCCTATGAGGTCTTTGAGAGTAGGTACTGGCTTTTGCCTTTCCTTGTATCCCCAGTACTTAGTGGAGAGCCTGGCACATAGTAGGCATTTAATAAATGTCAATTGACTGACTAGATGACTGACTGAATATAAGCACTTTGAAGGCAGGAATGGTTTTCAGTTTCCTCTTTATAATTCTGGCATAATAGGACATAATAGTTACTTATAAAATGCTTGCTGAATTGACAGGTTTAGTTTCTTCATCTGTAAAATAAGGATAATAATACAAGTGCTTTCCTATCCTTGGATTATGTCCACATCCACCTTCTTCATTCATATTTATATACTGCTTGATGGACCTAGGAGAAATAACAGAAAAATTCTGATTACACATTGATACCATGTAATCTGGGCTGTCTCTGAATCAAGGCAATTCTTTTACACTGTCCCCCCACCCAAAAATTGATTAACTATCTCTTTTATCCCATTGACTATTCAAAACCTTTTCATCCTTCCTCAACCTTTTCCCAGCATACCCTCCCCTCACAGTTCTAGCTGAGGACCTTAATTCAAAACTTATCTGAAAACATTGAGGCCATTCCCCAAAAGCTCCCTCTCCTTCCCACTTCTTCTTAATACATCACTCAGACATCTTCCTCCACTATCTCCTCTTTCACCCCATCTTGCTTGAAAAGATGGTTATCCTCCTTGCCAAGGCCAACCTTGCTACAAGCACCTTGGATCCTATCTCTTTTATTTTCTCTAGCAGATTACCCCCACTATGATTCCCAGTCTTTCTCTAATCTTCCCTATCTAGTCACTCTTTCTCTACTGCCTACAAACATGTCTACATCTCCTCCATCCTTAAAAAATTCTCACTTGATCTGTACTATCTGTTGTCTTATATCATCCCTCTCCTTCTTGGCTAAACGATATGAAAAAGCCATTTAATATATGAGGTACCTTCATTTCCTCTCTTCTTACTCCCTTACAAACTCCGTGAAGTCTGGCTTCTTATTTCATCATCCATCTGAAACTGCTCTCTCCAACGTTATGAATAATCTCTTAATTACTAAAGCTGATGGTTGTTTCTCTATACTCTTCTTTCATGACTTCTCTGTAGCCTTTGACACTGGTGATCTCCTGGGTACTTTCTCCTCTTTACATTTTCATGATACCATCCTCTCCTGGTTCTCCTTTTACATGTCAGACTGTTCCTCAGTTTCTTATGCTGGATTTTCATCCAAGTCACACTCACTAACTATATGTGTTCCCCAAAGCTCTGTCCTATTCTCTCTGTATATTATCTCACTTGGTAATCTCATCACTTCCCGTGAATTCAATTATAATTTCTATTCCCAGATCGATATATTCAGACATATGCCTTTTGGCCATCTTAAACTGAATGCCCCAGGAGCATCTCAAATTCAACATACCAGAACAGAAGGCACTATTTCCTCCTCAGTTTTTCTCTCTTCCCACTATTTCTCTTATTACAGAAAGGACACTTACTGTCTGTCCCTCAGACAACCTCTATGTCATCCTTGATTCCTCACTTACTTACCCTACATATCCAATCTATTGTCAAATCTAGTCATTTCCCCCTTTATAACATCTGTTATACATACCCCCTTATCTCGACACATTCAGCCACAACTCTTTTACAAGTTCTTGTCACATCTGACCCATTGCACTCATCTTCTAATTGTTCTTCCTGTCTCTTTACTCCAATCCAACCTCTAGCTCACCTGCCAAGGTGACTTTTCTAGTGTTTAGGTCTGACCACATCAGACCTCTGGTTCAGTGAGCCTTAGGGACTCGCTATTACATTCAGGATCAACTATAACCTCCTCTTTAGCATTTAAAGGTCTTCATAACCCAGGCCTTCCTACTCTTCCGGTCATACTTCATTCTCCCCTTCACATACTCTTTAAATCCTACTTAAGGGGCCTACTTGCAATTCCTTAAACAAGACACTCCATTTCACAACTCAATCAGTCATTTAGTCAATAAGCATTTATTAAGCTCAACCTAGCATGTGTATGCCTTTGCACAACTGTCTGCATGCCTAGAATGATCTCTCCTCAATACTGACTAATAAATTTTCTGATTTCCCCAAAACTCAGCTAAAATCTCACCTTCTGCAGGAGGTCTTTTCTGTTTCTCCCTATCCCAGTTACTAGGCCCTTTCCCCTAAAGTTGTCTTCTACTTCCTCTGTATATATCTATATGTGCATAGTTATTTGTGTGTTGTCTTCCCTACTAAATGTAAGCTTCTTGAGGATGGGGACCATGCTTTTACCTTTCTTTTTAGTGTCCCTAGCACTTAGCACAATGCTTGGCACAAAATAACTGCTTAGTAAATGTTTGTTGACTGATTACTTCACACAGCTATTTTGAAGGGAAACTGCTTTGTAAATCTAAAAGATATTGTATAAATGTGAGTTGTTACTGTTATTGTTACTTCTGAAAGGACATCATTCACTTACCCCTTTGCTATGATCTGATCCCCAAAATGATGAGAAACAGGAAAACCTCTTCAAAATGGACTTCATCTAGATTAGTACATAATCATATCTACAACTGTGAAAAAGGCAGTGTCATTACTAATGAAAGCCCAGTCAGGCAGACAGATTAATTATTTTATCCTGTAAGTCATACAAATTTGTAAATGTTACCTGAATTTACATTAAAGTGCTAAAAATCCTGCTTTGAGATTGAAATCAATAATTTTATCAGTTTTTCAGAGATTCAGAATCATTTGAAATTTTTAAACAATAACCCACTGTTTTTCAAAATTGCATTTTTCCTCCTCAAAATATTTTTGAGGTATATAGGTAAGGGTGGATTTTTTTTTAATTGTATCTGTGATTTTATCCGTGTTGGGGATTTAGGTGAGAACTTTCTCTATGCAAATTAGCAACTACTTTGCAACATACGCTTTTTGAGAGTTACCAAGGGCTTTGACTTGTTCAGGGTCATGGATGGTGAAAGGGACAGGATTAAAATCCAGGGTTTCCAGTTCTATACACCATGCATGTTTCCTCTCCGGGGTGATAAATGTGAGTAAATATGGTAATAACTTTTACTTGGTAAAAGTTATGGTCATGATAATCTAATGTGTTTCATGAAAAAGAAACCTAGACTTAGAGATAGGAGATCTGAATTCTGGCCTGGTCATATGTTCTGTATACCAAAAGTGTGACTCTGTATGACCAATGGCAAGTCTTTTCAAAGTGAGATCCTTTTTGGGTCTCACTTTCCTCCTCTGTATAATGAGGAGGTTGGACTAAATAATCTCTGAGGTCTCTTTCAGCTTTAACATTTGTGATTTTCTGAATTCATTATTTCATAACATTTGAAAGTCTAGTAGTGGATTTAAAGGCAAATATTCACTAATAAGGAAAATTTTAGTCCCTTTAAAGGTTTTGCATAGAGGTGGAAATAAAATTAAAGACTGATTGTGCATAGCTTTTTCCCTTTAAAAAACAAACTGGTTTTCATATCAGTACTTTTTTTTTTTTAGGTTTCCAGTTTAAAATCTTTGCAAATAACAGGAAAGACAGCTACAACATCCCCAAGAGCCAAACCAAAATGTCAAATAAGAAGATTTCATGCTGAGGCCTCACAGATTCCCAAAACAACTTCAGAGTAACTTAAATTTTAAATTTGTTACTTAAAAAAGTCTTAGGAAAAGTATTTTTAAAAAAATATCATTGGAAAATGGATTCACATAGGGAGCCTTCTTATAAAAAAAATAAAGCAAGTGATTCAGAAACTACATTCACATAAATTGGCAGGGATGCAAAACTCATTTAGATTTCTTGTAGAAAAGGGCTGATGGTTCCTTTAGGTGGCACTTTAGGAACTTTATAGGTCCTCTCTAGCTTCACTACCAGTGCCTTTCTAATCTCACAGACCCACTTCTGTTCTCTCCATCCATTTTTTTTGCTAATTTTTTGGGTGCTTTGCTAATGTAGAAGGCTATCTTAGGGACTAAAGAAATAGTCACAGAATAGCATTTAATTCAATATCATCAGCCATTGTGATGTGATTTTGTTTTGATTTTTTTTTTAGAAACTTGGTTGTTACTGTGGTAGAAAAAAGAAGTTGGCCATGTTACAATATTTGGTAATTTTGTATTGTTGAGGCCTTAGTGTATCCAAAATGTCATCTTAGCATATTGTAAGCTACACTTAATATAATAATAGTGTGATAAGTATATATTTACAAGTATAGGCTTTGTCTTCTGCCAGTCATTTTGTGGAAGCTCTGGTTTACTTGGTTTTGTCAGTATATTTTTTATGACTATGTTTATTTTAGATTCTTCTTCATTTCACTCTTTATGAGGGCTTAAAGAAGCTTTAATTATTAGCTTTTGTTGTTGCTGAGGGCCCTGAAAGGTGTACTGGATCTGGGAGAGAGCCTTTTTATGGCAGACCTAAAGTTTGTAAACGGATATTGCTCACAATTAACTAGCTGAGAGTGTACTCATGGTAAAAGAATTCCAAAGTTTATGAAACAAATTGGCATCTAAGTGACCCTCTACATGCCAATGCTTATCTGCATTGCTTTAAGTTCATTTAGTTAACAAGATTATATATTAAAACAAATAGTGACAGTAGACAAAGTATTTTGCCTTCAATAAATAGTTACTGTCAGATTATCAATGGTGCAGAAACTGCATGATAAAAAAATAAAACCGCACACCTGCACTTAGTGAATTAAGTAAAGTAGTGTGACCACACACAGAACTGTTTTGTGTGTATATGTGTGTGTGTGTTTGTCTTAGTTTTTCAAGGAATGATAGTCTATTTAAAGAGACTATGCTGTAAAAACATATAACTTTTCTTGGAGCATGCCAAAAATATTTGTAGGGTTTATTGATGTGCAGTATTATTTTCATTTTTTAAATGAATTAAAGTCTTCCCATGCAGGAACAAGAATGAGATCTGTAGAAATAAAGACTTAATTTCCTTCTTTCCTGTTTTATTAGTATTCCAGGCAACTGCTTCCACTTTTTCTTTAACTAAATTTGTGTTCAACCTCTCTCATCAATGACTTTATCCTGGTAGTCAAAATAGTTTTCTATAATTAACACTAATAATAAAATCATTGATTGAAGAAGAATCCTTTGCTGCCATATAAATTATCAGTATGATCAGGAGAAAAAGGGAGTTTGGGTTTTATCGTGGAAGAATATATAGAAAATGTAGCAGGAGATTTATGCCCATAACCAGGTCCAGCCTTTGGCAAAATCCCAAAGTATATGTTGTTTGTCTTCAGAGTACTCTTACAAAAAAAAATAAATAAAATTAAAAATTAATTTTTTTTAAATGAGGCCTCTTACCCTCTGCTTTCTTATATCACATTTCAAAATCCTAGCCAAATTCATGCTGCCCAGAGCCTCTAATGGTAACTATCCATGCCTCCTCTTACTGATTAATAACCCCATGCTCCAATTATACCTATTTTTTCTCCCTGTTGTAAAAAAGTCAATCTATCTTGGTTCCCATTCCTGTAGAACTCTGCCCTCAGCTAATGGTCACATTGCAAATGAATCTAAGCTAAGATGTTAATCGATAAGTATTGCTAGGTGAATTATTAGGCACAATATGAGGGTAAACCCAGGAGTAGACATTTCTTTGATCTGAACATCTTTATCAGTGAATGAGGATAATTGATGAGGGAAGAGACTGGATACAGAGTCACCAACAAAAAGCCAATTATAATAATACAAACATGAGGCTATGAAGGCTTTCCATGGGTATCTATTGAGATTTAGCCCACCTGCTGAGATGGATTACTAGGTGTGGCTGCTGCACATGCTACAGCTTCTTGGAGCAACAGTTGAGAGTTGGGTGAAGGTGAACACCAAAAGTGGATGAGCAGCCCTGAAAAGGGCTTGGAAGGGCCTCATACAAGAGGTGCCAGTCCTCCCTGAATACCCCATACACCCCTAAACCTGATTGAGGGTAACCAATAGACCTAAAATCTGTCAATAAATCAGGGGCATGTCTGCTCCAAGCATGTGAAGACTTTATCCAGCAGAATGGGTGGATGAGAACAACATGTTCCAACATCTATGAAGGCAGCTGAAGCATGTTCTGTGGAGGACTTAGAGCCTGGTCAGGCATGAAAGACACCAAGCCCATCCATTGCATCCTGCGCCATCCCTAGTCATTCTGACTTCTGTCCTGCCACTGGACTTCAATGACTCAAGAAGAGAGAGTGAGGTTGAAGATTTTTCACAACTCTGCCTCACTTAAATCCAATTCACGTGTGAGTCAAGACATCACCCCTTGATGTCATTGATCCCTTTAGAAAATGAAGGACAAACAACAACAATCTATTGAGATGGATAAGAAGGGATGAATCTAAGAAATATTGTGAAGACAGATACAGAGAAATTTGGTAATTTTCAACAGGAAGAATGAAGGAGAGAGAATTCTGCTAAGTTCTGAGCCTGGAGAATGAGAGTTGGAATACTATCTTCTAACAACCCACAGTAAGCATGTTAGGGTAGTTAAAGGTATTAAAACTATCCTTGAGGGGCAGCTAGGTGGCGCGGTGGATAAAGCACTGGCCCTGAAGTCAAGACTTGAGTTCAAATCTGGCCTCTGACATTTAACACTTACTAGCTGTGTGACCCTGGGCAAGTCAGTTAACCCCAATTGCCTAAAAAAAGGGAAAAAATAGCTATCCTTGAGATTTGATTGGTACAGGTGATGTATTGACATGGCTTCCCAGTGATATAAGGGTGTGAAAGAGGCTCCTCCATGTGGAGTAGAAGCCTTCAGACTTGAGAAATGACCCAAGGCTATTGGATTCACCAAATCCTTTCCTGCTAAACAGAAAGTTTTCTCATGAAGGCAATGTGAGCTAAGGTGAGGAGCTGCATCTACTTTAGCACATAAATATGTGATGTATTATTGTCAAGTATCTTTTATTGAGGCAACTAGGTAAAACAATGGATAAAGTACTGGGTCTGGAGTCTGGAAGATTTGAGTTCAAATTTGGCTTCAGACAGTTACTAGCTGTATGACCCTGGGGAAGTCACTTAACTTCAGTCTGCCTCAGTTTCCTTAATTGTAAAATAGCATCTACCTCACAAGGTTGTTGTGACCATCAAATGATATATTTGCATAGCACTTAACACAGTGCTTAGCATGTAGCAGATGTTTGTTTCCTTCTATGCTGTAGCTGAGCAAACCTCCTTTGGTTTGAAAAGCTGCTGATATACTGTCTGGTGGAAGTTGTATTGGCATCTACCTATGATCCAGCTTCTTGGGCATTGACATATATAACTTTCAGTGCTTCTTTCGGTATCACCATGGCTTCAGCATGCCATGGACTTCTATAAAGGGAATTTGCAATCTATGTTAGTGTTCCTTGATTGGTAGTAAATGCTAAAATTCGTAGTTTCCCTATCTATGGTAAGCTGCAGTCCTCACTTCGCAACTTGTCTTCATACGCACAGTGTTTGAACTTCTTGGTGAAGTGAACTATCACAGCTTGTGAAGGGGGTAATAGGTCTCAATGTTGCACCAGTATCTGACGAAAATGCAGTTGCTTTCATATGACTGTCAATCCCTCCAAGGCTGACATTTGTATGCAAAACGAAAGTCTTGTTCTGCATTGGTTTTAAGTCAATTCTGTGTCTTTTTTCTGTTTCTGTGCCTCCTCAGTCATATAAGCCAGAGTGAAGTCATTCAGTGGTTTAAGAAGTAATAGCATAGTTTTTAAACAAATTTTTAATAATAATTGCCAAATTCTAGAAAAGAGCTTAAATCTCTAAGGTCCTTTTAGTGTTGTCAAATTGAGTGCTTCTGTTTTTTGGGGAGCTGTACTCACACCTTTTGAGATACAATGTGATCCATATACTTGACAGAGGCTCTAAAAAAACCCGGTTTTTATCAATGGAGAGTTTTAGGCCACTTTCCTCTAACCAATTCAACATTTTCATCAGTCTTTCTGCTTGTTTTTCCTTTTGGAATGATGTCATCAAGGTGTTCATATTTACAACTACTTCCTCCCTCAATCTCAAAGTGACAGGCGCCCCTGTGATATCTTGGGGTAAGATACAGCTGGGCAGATGAAAGTCATCATCTTTCTGTCTTCATCTGTCATATGAATCAGGTAATAATCTGCTCTAAAAACTTCTATTTTGCCCCAGCTCTTTATTCTAAGGCATCACTTCAGCCCTTGAATTCATACACTGGAAGTACTCTCCACCTATGTAGACCCTCCTTCTGTTTGGATGGTTTGGCCCAGAATTTACATTTAAGGAAGGTGCTCAATCCCTCTGGATTTACTCTGTCATACCCCTTTCCCTTGGTACCTTTGTTCCCTATTCCTTACCCTTTTAGCTTCTTTTTATGTTTTGTATTCCCTCATTAGAATGTAAGCTCCATGCAGCCAGAGCCTGTCTTTATTTCTCCTTATATTTGCATTCCCAGTACTTAGTAGGTGTTGGCCCATTTTAAGTATTTAATAAATGCTTATTGACTAATTCACTGAATACTAAAAACCATTGGCTGACAATTCAGGGCATCTTGAATATAATATAAAAATTGAATAAGTTTTGAATTAATATAAAGATACACAAAGTAGCTAAATACAAGGTAGATGGGAGAGCACTAGAAAGCGGG